AATGAATGCTCTGTAGTGTTTATTTTATTGACTCGTGTGAGCACCCCCTGCTGGCCTCACTAGCACCTCTTCCAGCAGCAACCTAGTTTTCCCAGGAGGTCTCCCATCCAGGTACTGAGTACTGACCAGCTCAACCCTGCTTAGCTTCAGTGGGCAACCAGTCTCGGGCTGGTTAGTAGCAAACTAGATTAGCTTGATAGATAATAACAGAAATATGGTGGGAATTAAGTTATATTTTATCACTTTAAACAACAGAGAGTGATATTAAGATATTACGCATACGGAGCTACAATCACAAACCACTAAGCAGCACGGCAGACAGAAACCGGGACGTCCTGAAGTGCACGTGTCAACACACACACACACACATGTTGGTTTTCTATGTTTTATGGGGACATTCCGTAGGTGTAATGGTTTTTATACAGTACAAACCGTATATTCTATCGCCCTACACAAACCCTAAACCTACCCTTTCTGCTTTTTTAGATTTTCAAAACACTTTATTCTGTATGATTTATAAGCTTGTCTCCTCATGGGGACCAAAAATATCCCCACAAGGACAAGGATTTTGGATATTGCCATCTTTAGTGGGGACGTTTTGTCCCCATAACATAGGGTTTACCAGGACCACACACACACACACACACAGCCGCCATAGTAATGCAGCGAGACAAGGGCTGTGTCCGAATTCGGCCCCGAGACAGCCATGTGCAGTGGATGCTATTGAGCAGACTCATTCAAAACACATTCGAGGAGTGAGGAGGCTTCCTGAGGAGTCATGAGCGAGGATACACAGTAGGGATGTGCATCTCCTGTTTCTCTTGTTTGGTGGCTGTGTCAATAATGTCAATCAGCAGCAACGTGTATATAAACCACGCGGTATTGATTTATTAGTGATGAAATAATAACGTCATAATTGTATTAGAGTTTTACACACATGCTGTACAGTTAATCTGAGTCCTGCATTAATTTGAGTGCTGACAGATATTGTGGGAGTGGCTTGATGGAGCGCAGGAGATGCAGATAACGTGATCTTGACCCTTAAGAAACTTTAATTACTGCTGTCACGTAACAAATCTGTTCAAATATAAAATTAAATGAATTGCTAATTACTACGTTGAAATAAAAATGTAAAGCCTGTACAAATATTAGAACTCGTGAATATAAATAATTGGGAATCATGAAAAAAAAATTAAAGTAAAATAAAAACAGTGCACATTTCATTTATCTATTATAACATTTATGTAGTTTTGTTTTCCTTATAAAAGTCCAGAAATTTGTCAAGTTTTTCGTCAGGGCTGCGTTCAACCCCGACAAAACGGTGCAAAACGTTTTTTAAACGGAAACGGTGGTGCGTTGAACACTCTGTTCTGACGAGTTGCAACTATGGCAACTTCCATAACATTTGAGGGACGGAGCACAACAATACAATTCTGCTTAGGGCACCCATTTGGCCAGCGGCGGCCCTGACTATATAGATGTAATGTAACACAACATGACGCCACAGTGTACACATTTGACACAGTATTCTGGGTTAACAGCATAAAAGAGGTAAATCACAACTTGGGGCTAAGTGCATGTGTTAAAAGTCCTTTTAAGGGGAAAATCTAGGCCATACTGGTAGCCTACTTTTAGTATTAAAAAATTGCACCTGATGTGGCTGCGCCATCGTGTGGATAAAAAGTAGTTTGTGATTTGATTCACTGAGTGTTTTAGATTCACTGAGCAGTATGTGACACATGCAAGTTAAAGGTGTTTGCAAGTTCATCTCATCAAAAATAAGATAAATGCAAATGCTGTATCAACTGGTGGCTTGAACAGATTTTACTGTTGTAATTTTGCCCACGTTGTTGTTAATATGTACAGATCATGATGGATAATAATTTAACAAGATAATTTTAGAGCAATTTAAAGCTGCAGTCCGTAACTTTTTTTGTGTTCAAAATTTACAAAATTTATATAATAAGCGAGTACACCACGAATCCATTTTCCAAACCGTGTTTTTGGCTTGTGCTGAATCACTGCGGTACACCTATAATAAGTGTTTATATTCGGACTATTCAGACTGGTTCGGGTAGGCACCGCTGCGGAGGAGCCCAGTACCTGCGTGATTCGCCATAGACATAAACAGAGAGAAGTAGCTCCGGCTACAATGTTCTTCCGCAAGACGCACGCAGTTCTGTTTATTAACCGCTAGAGGGCCAAAAGTCACGGACTGCCGCTTTAACAAGTATACATCTTGCCATTCAAATGGGTCTCCAAAAAAATGCGTGGGCATGGTTCTTAGTCTGTCTTTATTTCAAAGTAAACTTTTTTTGTAAATTATATAATGTAAGAATTCAACTTTTAACACAGAACCTTTGATCTTCAGGTTTGTCTGTGCAGACTACAGTCTTAGTAGCGTACTTGACACTGAAGGTGTTGTTGGCTGTGCAGGTGAGTGTGGTGGTTTCTGCTGGACGGAGGCTGATATTCAGGTGAGATCCTTGAGTCTGGATCTGAAGACCGCTCCAGCTGTAGGAGGGATTCAGATCACCACCGGACGCCAGACACCGAAGATGAAACATGCAGATGTTTTCTGATTGCAACCTGGAAACATTGTACTTAATGTTTACATCTTTGATGAGATCTGTAAGAGAATAATATGAAAAAGTAATTATATTAGCATACTAAACTATTTAACTTTAATTTAAACGACCATGAACGTATTCTGCCTCAGTTCTTAAATGTGTTGTTTTAGAATTTGATATTTGCATCCGAACAGCATTGACGGAATAAATATCAAACAAT